AGGGGAATAAAAATGTTATACTAGAAAAAAATTAATTAATCATAAAAAAGACAGTAATGGAGAAAATGAGGAACAAAAAAAATATGACACATAAAAAACCCCACAAAATAGCAGAGGTAGGTCCTTCCTTCTAAGTATTAATTTAACTGTAAATAGAGCCCACCCTCCAATTAAAAGGTAGAGATTGATAAAATGGATTTTTTTAAAAAGCATGCTGTCTACAAGAGACTCACTTTAGATCCAAAGATGCAAATAGGTTGAAAGTGAAAAGATGCTGCATACGAACAGCAACCGATGGAGACCTGAGGCAGCTGCAATAATGTCAGACAAAACGGGCTGCAAGGCAAAACCACTACAAGACACTGTACATTGATTGATATGCAGAGATTAGGGGCATTATATACTGATTGACATATCTAGATTAAGGGCATTATATATTGATAAAAGGGTCAATTCATCAAGAAGATATAACAACTATACACATAAGCACAATTAACAGGAGAGCCTCAAAATATAAGAAGTGAAATCTAAGAGATTAGAAGGAGAAAGAGACAGTTCAGCAGTAATACCCAGGGGACTTTCATACCCCGCTTTCAATAATGGCTAGAGCACCAGACAGAAGATCAATAAGGAAGCAGAGGACCTGAACTACACTGCAGGCCGGCTAGACCTCACTGACGTCTACAGGACACTCCGCCCAACAACAGCAGAAGACACACGTTACTCAAGCAAACCCAGAAAATTCTCCAGCACAGACCATATGTTAGGCCACGAAGAAAGCCTCAATAAATTTAAAAAGACTGAAATCATATGAAGTATCTTTCCAACTGCAGTGAAATGAGGCTAGAAATCAATAACAGAAGGACAACTGGGAAACTCACTAGTATATCAAAGTTAAACCAAGTACTCTTAAACAAAGCAGAATTACAAGGAAAATTAGGAAATATTTTGAGATAAGTGGAAACGAAAACACAACATACCAAAACTTAGGAGACGTGGTGAAAGCAGTGCTCAGAGGGAAATTCATAGCTATAAGGCCTGTGTTAAAAAAGATCACGAATCAACAACTAACTTCACACCTTAAGAAACTAGAAAAAGAAGAGCAAGCTAAACACAAAGATGGCAGAAGGAAGGAAATAAAGACGAGAGCAGAGATAAATGAAACAGGAAATAGAAAAACAACAGACAGAATGAAGGAAGCCAGAGCTGGTTCTTTGAAAAGTTCCAGAAAACTGACAAACCGTCAGCTAGATCGACCAAGAAAAAAAGTTGGATAACTAAACTTACCAAAATCAGAAATAAAAGTGGGGACACCAATACAGACCTTACAGAAATAAAAAGAAGCACAAGACAATACTGTGAACAATTGCACACTGAACAACTAAATAACCTGGACGAAATGGACAAATTCCTAGAAACACACCAACTAAAAACCTGACTCAAGAAGAAATAGAAAACCTGAACAGACCTATAACACATAGAGATTCTTTTTGAGAGATTTAATCAGTAATCAAAAACAAAATGAGAGGCATCCAGATTGGAAATGTAGTAAAACTATCTGTATTTGCAGGTGACGTGGTTTTGTATAAAGAAAATCCTAAAGAATTCACAAAAGAATGAGTAGAGCTAATAGACAAATTTGGCAAGGTTGTAGGATACAAGACCAATGTACAAAAATCAACTCTGTTTCTGTATATTAGCAATGAACAATCCAAAAATGAAATTAAGAAAACACTTCCATTTACAGTAGCATCAAAAAGCACAAAATACTTCACAACAAACTTAACAAAATAAGTCTAACTCTTGTACACTGAAAACTACAAAACATCATTGAAAGTAATTTTTAAAAGACCTAAACAAATGGCAAGCCATCTCACACTTGTAGATTAGAAGACTAATGTTAAGATGGCAATATTCCCCAAAATTGATCTACACATTCACTACAATCCCAATCAAAATCCCAGGTGCATTTTTTGCAAAATTCGATCCCAAAATCTGCATGGAAATGCAAGGACCTCAAATAGCCAAAAAAAGTCTTGGGTGAAAAAGAAGAACAAAGTTGAGAACAAAAGAACAATTTCCAATTTCAAAACTTACCACAAAGCTACAGTAATCAAGACTGTGTGGTACTGACACAAGGATAGACAGACAGACAGACATATATATCAATGGAATGGAACTGCAAATCCAGAAATAAATCCTGACACTTCCGGTCAATACATTTTTTTTTTTAAGATTTTAGTTTTTTCCTTTTTCTCCCCAAGGCCCCCTGGTACATAGTTGTATATTCTTTGTTGTGGGTCCCTTTTTTTATTAGTTGTGGCACGTGGGACGCTGCCTCAGCGTGGTTTGATGAGCAGTGCCATGTCCGTGCCCAGGATTCGAACCAACAAAACACTGGGCCACCTGCAGCGGAGCGCGCAAACTTAACCACTCAGCCACGGGGCCAGCCCCCGGGTCAATCCATTTTTGACCAGTGTGCCAAGAAAATCCAGAGGGAAAAATGTCCTTTCAACAATGGTGTTGCAACAGCTGGATTTCCATGTGCAAAGGATACTGATGGACCCCCGTCTCACACCACACAAAAAAATTATGTCAAAATGGATTAAACACCTAAAGGTAAGAGCTACAACTAGAAAACTCTCAGACGCAAATACAGACGTCAATCTTCATGACCTTGGATTAGGCAATGGTTTCTTAGATATAACAACTAACACATAAGCAAAAGAGGATAAACTGGACTTCATCGCAATTTAAAAACTTTTGTACATCAGAGAACACAATCAAGAAAGTGAATGGGAGTAAATATTTATAAATCAGATATCTGATAAGGATCTAATACCCAGAATATATAAAGAACTCTTACAACTCAATGACAAAAAGATAAACGACCCAATTCAAAAAACAGGCAAGTGATTTGAAGGGACATTTCTCCAAGAAGACAGATGAACGGCCAATTCACACAGGAAAGATGCTCACTGTCATTAGTCATCAGGGGAATGCAAGTCAAAACCACAATGAGACAGCACCTCACATCCACTAAGACGGCTACAGTCAAAAAAAGTGAACTGAAAATAACAAGTGTTGGTGAGGCTGTGGAGAAAACAGAACCCTTGCACGTTCCTGGTGGGGCTGAAAAATGGCGCAGCTGCTCCGGAAAACAGTTCGGTGGCTCATCAGGAAGTTAGACACAGAACTGCTAAATTCCCAGCAATCCCAAGAGGATTGAAAATATATGTTCACACAAAAATTTGTATAAGAATGTTCATAGCACAACTGTTCATAACAGTCAAAAAGTGAGAACAACTCAAACGTCCATTAGCTGACGAAAGGATAGACAAAATGTGGTCTGTCCACACAATGGAATATTACTCAGCCGTAAGAAGGAATGAAGCACCCACAGTTGCTACAACATGGATAAACCTTGAAAAACCTCCACCATCCTCGATGTCTCACTGGTGAGGCTGGAAGGCAGGAGCTCACTTTCCCAGGCTGCCTGGAGTGGGGCGCAGCCTGGGACCCACATGGAGCCAGGAAGAGTAAGGGGAATCTGCCACAGGCTCCTCAGACAGCGTTTGTCTTCCAAATAGAAGAAACAGCAGGTGACACCCTGTGTGGGTAGAAATGCCCCCGAGACCCCTGCCCCACGATGTGCACACACCTTCCCCCAGTGACCCCAGGGAACACTAATCTGGGCACTGCTGTGAAGGGGACTCTGCAGAAGGAATTAAGGTCCCAGAACAGCTGGCACTGAGTTCATCAACAGGGACATTACCCTAGGTGGGCCTAGCCTCAACAGGTGAGCCCTTAAAAGGGAGGGGGCTCCTCCTGGCCAAAGATTTGAAGCATGAGAGCATGTGGACACAAGGGGGATTCTCCATGGCTGGACTAAAGACGGAGGGGCCACGTGGCAAAGGACCTAAGAGTGGCCCCCGGCTGCCAGCCAGCCAGGAAACAGACTCAGACCCAGAACCACAAGGACATGAATTCTGCCAGCAACTGAGATGAGTCTGGACAAGGATTCCCAGACAGCTCAGTCAGCTGGCTGTGCATTCCAGCCTGTGAGACTCTGAACAGAGACCCCAGCCACACCACAGCTGGACGTCAGACCTACGGAACTATGAGCGGATAAACAGGTATCGTTTAAGCTACAGAACCTGGGACAATTTGCTGTACAGCAGTAAGAAAAAAATACACACACGCCTCTTGTGTGTTCTTCTCTCCTTAAACATGGTGGCCAGAGCTACGGAAGCCTTCTTGGGACCGGGAGGCATTAAGCATAGAAGGATCTTTATCTCATGCTCAGGACACCAGAGAATTAGAGACAGACAGAGCCTGTGCCCCGTGAGGTTCTCACGACGACTTGGAAACGGTCCCCAGCGAGCAGCCTCCGGGTGTCCACACCCTCACCACAGCAAGCCGCCTCTCCACCTGCTCGGAGCTGCCGGGTCTTCACATAGAGCACGGAGAAGGCAGCATTCTAGGACTGCTGAGAACAGATTTTCCCAAGTCCTGTTGCCTCTACTGTCCCGAGGGGAGCCCGGTCACCAGGGGAAGGAGCCTGGGCTGCCCACACGAACAATGAGGGCCTGGGGGTGCACCGTCACGAGGAGACGGTACCCCAGAGGAGAGAATGGGGTCCAGACACAGCAGTGAACCACAGGGAGAGAGAGGCCGTTATCCCCGCCAGTCCATCCAAGGGATCCATCCCCACGGGGACATCAGACGCCGGACGAGCCAGGCTGGACCCTTTTGTGCCAGGCATCACCGTGAGAGTCAGGAGGAGGCACCCACAGAGCCCTGCCCCAATTCCTGACCCACAGAGCCGCGGGACGCACACCCACTGCTCCTCCCGGACTCTATGTCTAGGAGCATTTGTTACTGGGCACCAGATAACCAACTGACTCAGGCCTGATGAGTCTGCTGAGCATCCCCCCGCCACCAAACGCTGCCTCCAGGCCTGTTTCTGAGATGGTCCCACAGGATGGATGTCAACTGACCTGTGACATCCAGGCGGAAGGAGACCTTCTGGCCCCCGGCCTCACAGCTGTACTCCCCGGCGTCTGCCTTCCCCGCCTGCTGCACCACCAGCCGCCGGGTGCAGCCCTTGGCCTCCACGTGCACTTTCGAGCTCTCACTCAGCTTCTTCCCGTTCTTGAACCACGTCACCTCCGTCTGGGCCTGGGCCACCTCGCAGCTCAGTGTGGCGCTGGCCCCTGCCTGAGCCTGCACCTCCCTGCGGGCTGGCTGGTCCTTGGCAAACACCATCGTGGGCTCTGGGGACAGAGAGGGACACGGGGTCAGAGGCCCTGCTGAGGTGAGGTTCCCAGTCCTGGAGCCATGACACAGGCTCCGGACCCCAGGCAGTCTCAGGTCGTGCCACGGGGATCCCTGGTGGTCGGGTGTTGCACACAGGGCCACCCCAGCAGAGGTGGGCCCGATGCCTGACCCTCCTGGGTGTGGCAGGAAGGGGCCTCAGGGACCACCATGAGCGGCGGTGCCTGGGACAGACAGAGAAGGCATGGAAGGCACAGTGGAGACCCTCCCAAGGGTCAGGATCGGGTAGAGCAGGACTGGGAGCACCTCCCAAGAGGCCCCAGTGGCTTCTAGAAAGAGCTGTGGCCTTAGATCCACCGAGATCCAAATCTACCCTTCTGAGAATACTCCCAGCACCTTCTGGATCCCCTCAGCTTCATTTTGTCATCTTTGAAAGGAGGACAGGGCTTCAAATTTCCTTATCTTTTATTTTCCACATCTGTATTTTTCAACTTTCTAAAAGTGAGCTTTGTGGGCAGTTTCTTTTCCCAAATCCAGAAGCAACTGCCCCACGGCAAGCATTTGTCAAAGAAATGAAAGGCCCAGTGGGTGGTCTTGCAAGTGCTGGATGCAGCCAGACCTGCTCCCCCCCCACCAAGCCCCGGAGGCAGTGCACTCACCACAGACACGCAGCCGGAAGTCCACGGAGTCCTCGCCCACACGGCATGAATAGGTGCCCTCGTCCTGCCTGGTGACAGAGGCCACCACCAGCCGGTGCCGCGTGCCCACGTCCTCCTGCGAGAAGCGCTGGCCCAAGCCACCAAGCTCGGCCCCATCCTTGTACCAGCGCACGCGCACGTGGGCCTCCGACGTCTCACACTCAAAGCAGGCTGGACCCCCAGCCACGGCATCCACGTGGCCGCCCACTGTGTCCTTGTGCAGAAAGGACGTGAGGCCTGCGAGGGCACACAGGAAGTCAGGGGGCCAGCAGAGCCACGACCACTGGCCCAGACCAGGGTCCCCTTCAGCAACAGGACCGGCCTTGGCTGCTGACTGCCAGCCACCCAAGTGCCACCCACTGTTAGGAAGCTCCTCGTCCACCGAGCAGAGCCGCGTCCCCCATCCTCCCGCACCGTCACCTGAGCCCTCTACCCCCACGCACTCCACAGGGACAGAAAACAGTGGATCCCACTGCCCAGAACCCCCCAGAGCCTGCCCAGAGCTGGGGGACAGAACACGTGGCCGTGGCCATGTTGGGCCCAGGAAAGACGTGGTCGCACACACACCCCACCGGCATCACCTTGTACGGACAGCTGGTACGCGATGCGGCTCCCGCGGCTGATGCACTCATACAGCCCGGCATCGTCTCGGGCCACGTCCTTCACCAGCAGGGCCCACTGCCCGGCCGACGCCTGCACCTCATACTTGGGGCCCGGGGGCAGCGCATGGCCATCCTTGAGCCATGTCACGGCTGCGGCCTGGTCCGACAGCTCAGCCAGGAGCTGCGCCTCCTCATGCAGCCGGGCCAGCACCTCCCGAGCAGCTGTTGTTGGAGGCTTGGTGGTCAGCCCTGGGGCCGCTGGGGCCACAGACAGGTGGACAGAGGGGGCATGGACAGAGAGGAAGAGAGGACAGAGAGAGGAAGACGAGGAGGGGTAGGGGAGACAGACGGGGAGCTGAACCTCTGCACCACTGAGGGCTCCCCAGCCCCTCCTCCGTCACACCCCGTGTCTGGGACCGCCCACTGGGCCTGGGCGAGCTGCCTGGCACACCCACCGCCCAGCCTGCTTCATCCAGGCACCCACCCAGCAGTGCCCCTGCCCCGAGAGCAGCAGCAACCCTCCAGGAACCCTGAGGCCCCGGGACCCTGTCCCACCCCACGCCCAGAGGAACCGGCTGGAGAGGCCCAGGGGTCACCGGCCAGGCCCCTACCTCGGACCTCCATGCGGATGGTGCTCTCGATGCCATTGGCCACAAACTTGAGCTCAGCGCCGTGCAGGCTGGCGGGCACTGAGCGGATGGTGAGAGTGTGCCGGGCGCCGTCGCTGCGGATCACATACACGCTGCTGGCCTTCAGGGGCTGCCCGTTCAGGAACCACTCACCCACCGAGGCCAGGGTGAGGTCCACCGAGAAGGTCGCCTCGCCGCCCTCCACTGCCTCCACTGCCTTCAGAGGCGTCCTCACGGCCAGCTGGGGGGCTGCAGGATGGCAGTGTCAGGAAGGAGCCAGGCCCCTGCCCTCCTCTCCTCCTCCTCCTCCAGAGCCCGGGCCGAAATGCCTCGTCCTCCAGGAAGCCCGGCAGACAGATGCACGGCCACCACAAGCGAACGTTGGACCCAGGACGAAGCGGGGACAAGTCAGAACTACCAGAGATCCCCTCCAGATCCCACAAAACCGGGGGGTGGGGAGGGGCTCAAATACTGTCTCAGGGTCCCCTCCTCTTCCCACAGAGGAGGTTCAAACAGCATCAGGACCCTGGCACCACCCCTACCCAATAAAGAGGCTCCATGAGGTCACTGGGGCCTCCTCAGGCCTGGGCTATGCTCTGGGTCTGACTAACACAGTGGCGGATGGCCCCCAGGCCATCACCACGTGGCGGGTGGACCGAACCTTCCACACTTACCCAAGTGGACAGTCCCCGGGAACTCGAGGTAGGGGCTCTGGCCAAAGCTGTTTACAGCTGACACCCGGAACTGGAAGTCCCCCTCCTCAGCCACGCTGGCCACCGTCAGCTCGGGTGTGGCCACCCACTCGGCCTCGTGGCACCGGCTCCAGGTGTAGGCCCCGAGTCGCTTCTTTTCCACCAGGTAGCCGTCAATGGTGACAGGGCGGTCCCCATGGGGTGGTGGGGACCAGCCAAGGGTCACAGAGCTCTCCGTCCTGGCCTTCACCACCGGGGCCTCAGGGGCGTGCAGGGGTGGCTTCCTAGGGGCTGGGGAGAGGACCGGACCACGTCACCGACGGGATCTCCTCCCTGAGCCCTAAGTCCAGCATCGCCTGGGTCGGGGAAGGGCGTCAGAATCTCCAACCCTCCCAGACCCACTCTGGTGGTCTGGAATGGCCACAGCCCAAGCGGACCACTGGCCTGAAGGGAGGCTGTATGCCCATGACCCCCAGCCCCGGTCCTGAGGGCAGCTGGGCCTCAAGGGCCACCAGGAGCTGTCCACGTGGTCTGGGGACAGATCCCTACCTGTGCATCGGGATGGTAGGGTAGGCAGTGGCTGAGGCAGGGCACAATGACCCTTCTGGGGGGCTGAGACCTGCGTGCAGGGGCACTTTCCTGCCCCTAGCAAAAGGCTGACCCTGTGGGGGTTGGAGGGAGCAGGGACCTGCTGCCCAATCTACAAACTTGACACCAAAGGCCGCAGAAAGAGGACATGATCACACATGATGCCCCACACACATGCTCTGCTTCTAGAACAATCTGCACCTTCCCTCTGGTTCGAAGTGGGAGGGACCACCAAGACTTCTTCACTACAAACGACTAGGGTGACCACAGTGAAGGAGAGAGCCAGCAAACCAGGGATCCGAGGGGACAGAGCTGGGACAGCGGTCACCCCCTCCATGCAGCCCTCCTTGCAGCAAGCCAGTGCAGTGGGGCCCAAGGGGGCAGGCTGGAAGGGGTGGGTCCCTCCACCCGCAATCCCCAGGCCCTTACCCGACACACAGAACTGGGTGGATGTGCGGCAGTCCCCAGCCACGAAGGCCACCTCGCCCATGTCGTCCAGGTTGCACCGGGAGATGGTCAGCGTGTGGCATGTGCCTTCCACAGTGATGGCCACGCGGCCCCCAGCCACCACCTCCTCCTGGTTCCGCAGCCAGCGGACGGGGCCCTCGGGCCTGGCCAGCTCCACGCAGAACATGGCCGTGTCCCCAACTCGCACCACCGTCTTCCGCGGGAGCTTTCGGGTGAGGTTGCCTGGGGTGAGCAGGGCCCTGAGCTGGTCAGACCCTGTGCCGCGCCCCCAGTCCCACACGTGCCCCGCCCTCTGTCCCCTAAATGTCCCGCCCCATGTGCCCCGCTCCCTGTGCCCTGAGCGCCCTGCCCCCTCCGCCGTGACCCCTGTCCCCGGAGGGTCCTGCCCCATGTGCCCCGCCCACATCCCCTGAGCGCTCCCGCGCACCTCGCACCGCCAGCTCCGCCACCGTGCGGCTGCCCTCGGCCGTCTCGCAGATGTACACGGCGTCGTCGTCGGCAGAGACGTTGCGCACCGTCAGCCTGCGCTCCGTGCCCTCCTCCTCGATGCCGTACTTGGCGCTCGCCCGCAGCCGCGTCTCCTCTTTGAACCACGCGGCCTCCGTGGCTGGCAGCGGCACCTCGCACTGGAACGTGGCCGACTCCCTCTCCTGCACCTCCAGGTCCTGCAGCCGCTTCCTGAAGGGCACGGTGGGCTCTGCGGGGAGAGGGCAGGTGAGCGGGACGGGGGCACGGGAGGGGGCCGCGGGGAGGGGGCGGGGCCGGGCAGCACAGGGGGCGGGGCAGGGGAGCGCAGAGGGCGGGGCAGGGGGTACACGGGGAAGGGGAGTGAGGACAGGAGGACACGGGGAGGGGGGCGCCGCGGAAAGGGGTACGGGGGAAGGAGAGTAGGGGGCAGGGGCTGCAGGCAGAGGGCTGGGGGAAGGAGGGCAGGGGAGGGGACAGAACGTAAAGGAAAGAGTCCCCCCCCCCCCCGCCCCAAATATGAGAAGTCTGGAAAAGCACAGGAGAAACGAGGCGGGCGGAGCGGCCCCGCCCACCAGCCCCGACGCTGGTCCTAGGCGGGCGGCCCTCGCACCTGGCGAGGCAGCGAGACCAGGACTGGCCGGCGAAATGGCTAAACTGCCCGAGCGCTGGCTGTGGGCCAGGCCCTGCTGCCCAAGCATCCTCCCCAGGCAGCTTTTGCAGGGACCGCCCCGACCCGCCGAGGAGCGAGGGGCCATTTCCCGCAAGAACGAGGAAACTGAGGCATGCACGCGAAGACCGAAGCGCCCTGTCCGAAATCCTAGAGCAGGTAAGATGTGTAAGAAGTGCAGGTGGGACTCGGACCACATCAAGGGGCTGCTCTTAGGAGACAACAATAAATGGGCCTCCCCAACGAAATCTGATCGTGTTGCCCACACTTGCCCCCACGTGCCCTGGGAGAGCCCGAGACCCCGACGGGAGGCTGCAAGCTGGCCCAGAACCGCCTTCAGGCTGCATCGTGGCGGACCCCTGTCCGCTCCCCCAGTCCCGAGCGAGGCCTCTGAAGGCACAAGCGTTTGTCTCTGGTCCTGCCCTCCTTCCCACTCTGCCCCTTAGCATCCTGAGGGAGGACCCGGGTCACTCCCAGCCTGGACAGGGCAGGGTCAGCTACTGGGCCCCCCCACCGTGTCCCAGTGGGAGGGGCTGCCGGTGACAAAGCGTTTTTTTCTTGATTCGTGTGGATCACAAAGACAGTGAGTGAGGCTGAGGGTGTCCTCGTCGCCCGCATTTTGAGGACCCGGAAAGGCGAGAGCCGCCAAGACCTCCAACTCTGCTTTCCACTACCGGCGCCACAGGACGCGGGCGCTGGGGAGGAGCCTCCGCCCGCGCCCCAGCGACTGCGCACGGCGCCCGCGCGCCCTGAGCTCACCTCGCACGACGACCAGCACGGAGCTGTAGGTTTGGCCCACGAGGTTGGACGCCGTGCAGGTGTACAGGCCGCGGTCCGACTGCTTGCAAAAGAGGATCTTGAGCACGAAGTTCTCCTGCGCGTCCTCGTACACCAAGTGGCGCCGGCCCTCAGCCACCAGCTGCCCATCCTTCTTCCACACGGTCTCAGGCTTGGGCTCGCCTGTCACGTAGCAGCTGAGGCGCGCGTGCTTGCCCTCAGTCACCGTGCAGGTGCGCGTGCCAGAGCCAGGCGGTGAGGCTGGGGCGCCCTCGGCGCGCATGGCCTCACGCCGCCGCTGCAGGTGCGCCAGGAGCGCGGCGGTGGACGTCCCCGGAGGGCCGGCCGCGTCGGCATCCGCGTCCACTGTGAGCGCGGCGGCAGCGCTGGCGGCGCCCAGCGGGTTCTCGGCGTGCACCGTGTAGGTGCCTTCGTCGTGCGGCCGCGCAGCCTGGATGCGCAGCGCGCTGGCCTCTCCGCTCGCTTCCACGCGCACTCGGGGGGCGTCGGGTGCGCCCAGGCGCCGTCCATCCTTGGCCCAGCTTACGGCCATGGGCGGCGAGCCGCGCACGCGACAGCGGAAGGTGGCGTCGGCGCCCTCGTGCACGCGGATGGATGTGGGCCGCAGCAGGAAGTGGGGCGCCTGCTCGGCGCACGCGGCGTCAGCGTCCACCTGCAGGCCGACGGCCGCGAAGGCCTCGCCTATGGCATTGCGTGCGCGGCACACGTACTGCCCGCTGTCGCCGAGCGCCAGGTCCAGGATGGTGAGGCGGTACAGGTCACCGTCCTGGGCCAGGCGGAAGCGAGCGCCCGCCTCCACTGGCTGCCGGTCCTTCTCCCAGCTCACCTGTGGCGTGGGGTTGCCCACGATCTGGCAGCTCAGCGTGGCATCCTTGCCTACGCACACTACGAAGGCCTTGGGCCGGGTCAGGAAGCGGGGCGCGCCGCTGAATGAGTGATCCATAGTGATGGCGGGAGCCGGTGTACCTGCGAGCGGGATGAGGGAAGGTCACACTGCGGATGTACCCAGGTGAGCTCCAAGCCCCCACATTTGCCCCACCCGCCCACCTCACCCATCCAGCGCTGCCTGGAGAACCCAGCTTAACCCAGTGTGGACACCCCTACATGACCCCCTCCGCATTTGGCCTCTTCTCCCTCTTGCATGTGGCGTTGCCAGAAGGCGCCGTGGTCCAGAAGCGCAGATTTGTCCCTTTCTGGGCACTTGGGTACTGGCTTCATGCCCCTCTCCCAAAAGGGCTCTTCTAACTGATGCGAGTATCTCCTCTCTCTCTCCCCCAGCTCCAGTCCTGCAGCCCCAGCTCAAGATCCAGTGGAGCGCCTGTCCCTAGACACGGCCCCAGCACCAGCCGGGCCCTCCTCCCTGTGCAGCGCCTGCGCTATTGGCCCCCAGCCTTCTCCTCACTCCAGTTGCCTTCCTGCATCCTGTCCCCTCCCCACACGCTACTGCCTCTTGGGGTCTAAGACTGCAGTCTGCCTAGTCTCCCCCACTCAGAGAGGCCCCTTTATGCACCCTGACAGGGCCTGGCCATGGAGGGCCACAGTGGGTCCCTGGCCTATTCTCTCTCTGACTGTGGCACACCAGAGGTCACAGGTTCTCCACCGGGCCAGGCTCTCCTCTGAACCCTCTGCCTGGCACACCCCTCTGCCCGCCTCTTCCTTCCCTGGGCGACTCCCCGCCCCGCCCAGGCCTCTGGGCTCCACCTCTGGCTGTGCGCCCAGCAGCCTTCCTCACCAGGTGGTGCCCAAGACAGAGAGCATTGTGCACAGGGCCAGTCCTGTCTGCAGCTGCCTGGGCTGGGGCACACCTCGCTTATGCTGGGGTCCCCCACCTCCCCTCGGCCCCTGAGGGGGATGCTCGTCAATGAGCAGGGAAAGAATGGAAACTCCACAGCCAGTGGGCTCCTCCTAACAACACAGGTGCCCCCGGCCCACTGGGCTGCCAGTGCCCCCTCGCCAGGAGCATCTGCCTCCTCCCCTCGAAGGTCACAGTGGGGAGGGGCCAGGCAGCCCACAGTCAGCGGGGTGCCTGGGGAGGGGAGCCAGAGAGTCTCCCCAGAACAGCCAGGGACCTCCAGGCTGAGGATGGCCGGGCCAGCTAGCCAGGCCCCCACCTGGGGGTCTGCAGGTGGCCCAGTCACTCTGCAGCTCTCAGCTGCGGCTCCACTGGCTGGGCACCATCAATGCCAAAGGCCCCAGCTGCCTCTGGCCTCTACCCAGGCTGGGTTGGGCCCCCATCTCCCCCAGCACGGGTGGGTGAGGTGAGACTGGGCCCTGCCTGCACGGGGGCTCCTATAAGAACAGTGGGCACTGTGGGCCCCCCTGGGCCCAGGCTGGCCCCAAGCACCTTGACTCCCTCCACCTCAGGGGCCAAGCCTCCAGCCTCTGGGCTCGGGCTGCCCACCTCCGGACAGCAGCCTGTATTCCCAGCCCTCCGGCTCCCAGTCCTGTGATTCAGGACCTAATCTCCTTAATCCCCCTCCCCCCACAGGAGGCTCAGCCCAGACCAGCCTGCTGACTCACGGTGCAGTCAGCACCTCTGACACCCCCACCGCTGGCTTCCCCCCATGGCCTGGCCGGCTCCAGGCCTGGGAGGGGCGGGGGGCACCCCCCTCCATGGCACCCTTCTGGGCCTCAACACCCCTCTGTGGAAGGGTTACTTTCACACCAGACCTTGGGGACCCTGAGCCCTGAGTGCTTCCCAGTGCCCCCTCCCAAATCACATGGTGGGTCTGTGGGTTCCTTGAAGCAGGACGCAGCACCCTCCCCACTCCACACCCAGGGCAGGCGCCTGAGACGGCTGGCTGCTCCGAGCACATGAGCAGGCACGTGTGGGGGCAGGGGGCCACCTCTCAGCCCGGTGGTCTCTGGGGGCCAGGAGGACAGGGACAGCGGAGGGAGCTTTCATCACTGCACAAGTTTGGGAGAACTGGCTCCAGCCCTTGGGGTGCACAGGTTGTCCCCTGGTTTGGCAAGGGTGGGCAGAGGCCCCGCCTGCATGCCCCACCCTCCATGCGGCAGACCCTGTGAGGTCCGAGGGGGCTCACCCAGACACGGCTGCCTGGGAGTCTACCCAACAGCAGCCCCACCAGGCAGCCTTCCTCACAGGCCAGCAGGGCCAAGGCGCCCTAAGCTGGGAGCTCCGCCCACACCCCCCACTCTTGCTTTTCCAGAACTTGGCCACCCTTGGTCTCCGTGGGGCCCTGGGAGTGGGAAGTGGCTTGCAGCCTGACAGCAGAACCTCAGCCCCCCTGCCCCTTTCTGGAGCCCCGTCTCCCTGGTGCCCCCTCCACCCACCACTCAGTTGCTCCTAGGCCCTTCCAGAAAAGACTTCCCAGCCAAGGGCAGCTCCTGGAGTCTGCATCTCCCCTTGGACCCTTGGACCCCCGGGCTCCGGCTTCCAGAACTCCAGGGGAAATTCTTTCCTGGAGTCAGGTGTCACTGCCCCTGTGGCTGTCCCCTCCGCTGAGCCAACAGGCTCAAAATAGCCCCAGCTGTCAGCGGGCATCCATCTCAGCAGAGCTGGGGGCAGGGCTGGCCGGACCCCCAGGCCACCCTCGGAGCTGGGCAGCAGGCGAAGGAGGTGGGTGCATGCACGCCCATCCTCCTGCCTGGCAGCTCCCTCCCAGCCAGAGGGCCCAGCTCAGCCCTCCAGTGGGCCAGGGGCTGGAATCCCGGCTCCAAACCCAGGAGCAGCACAGCCTGACCAGACCACCAGGCCACTCTGTTCCCCACAGCCGTGACCTTCAGCTGAGCCACCCTCAGGGGACACAGGATGGCCCCCCACCCCTGCCTGCTCTCTGCCTCCTCACCTGTCTCTACGGGGGCTCCAGGCGGACGCCCAGGCCGGGGGCTCAGATGGTGGGGCAGAGGCCACCAGGTCTCACCTCCCTCCTGTGGCCCAGGACTGACACGGCTCCCACCCAGCAGCCTGCACTCCGGCCGGTCCTCAGACTGGACGGGGACGAAAGGACAGGCAGACGCTGTCAGCTGGAGAAGGCTGGGCCCGCCCTCCACCCGGCCCCCACATGGCTGGCCCAGCCCAGCTCCAAAATAGCCTGGTGTCACTGCCCAGGATTAGGTTTCAGCCCTGGCCCCACTGAGGCAAAGGGCAGAGGCTCAGGGCTGCCAGGAGGAGGGGGAGGCCCACATCTTCAGCAATGACATGGGCAGGGCAGAGATCCCAGCTGGTTAGGACCCCTCCCCAGACCAGCATCCTGGAGTGCAGGGTGGGAAGAAGCCCAGGGAACCCAAGACCACCTAGAGGGGGCTCAGGACACCCCCCAGAAGAACTGGTACAGCCCCAGAGGACCCAGGACACCTCCCAGAGGACCCAGGACCTCCTAGAGAGGACCCAGGACACCCCCAGGGGACTCAGGACACCCCCAGAGAACCCAGCACACACCTAGGGGACCCAGCACTCCTCAGAGGACCCAGGACCACCTAGAGAGGACCCAGGACACCCCCGGGGGACCCAGGACACCGGGGGACCCAGGACACCTCCATGGGGACCCAAGACACCCCCAGGGGACCTGGGACACCCCCAGAGGACCCAAGACCACCTAGAGGGGACCTAGCACACCTCCAGGGGACCCAGGGTCACCCCAAAATGACTGGCTGCCTGACAGTCATGAGGCCTCTCGGTGGAGGCAGGCAGCCAGGGACCTAGTGCAGGTACCCAAGGTCAACCCTGCTCCACCCCAACCACCCATGATGGGGGTGGGTCCTTTATCCCTGGTCCCTCCTGCAGTGCTCGAGCTGGCTGGGTGTCCGTGGCACCTTTAAATGGGAGTGGAGGTCCCTGAGACCCCAGCCTGGGAACTTCACTGCCTGGGGACCAGGGGCCCTGCCCCAGGGGTGCTGCTTTATGCCCCAGGAGGGCTGCCCCAGGCCAGGGACAGGACACCAGGCCCACCCACGGGGCCTAACGGGCAGCCAGAGGGGCTGCCCGGTGGTAGTCCTGGAGCCTCTCCCAGGAAAGGGCCAAACCTCATCCCCAGGGGCCCAGGCCTGAAAGAGGGGCCCTCCCTGCAGGGGCCCCCATCTGAGGTGGGAGCCAGGGCTGAGGCAGGCCCCCAGCACCCATCTGATCCAGGGGCTCCACTGCAGGTGTGTCCACAGGCTGACCCCTGCCAGAGGGGGTGCTGCTCTGCAACCCCAGCTTCACCCCCACCCCTGAGCCAGCACCAGGGCGCTGTGTCCTTGCCTGGCGCGCCCAGCCCAGGGTCCAACCCATCCCCTCACCCGTCTATGGCCTCTGCACCCAGGCTGGTAGCCGGTGGGGAAACCAAGGCTCCGAGCACAGACCAGACTTCCCGTGTAGCCGATGGCAGCCTCTCCCCTGAGGGGTGGTCCTGGGTCCCCTGGGGGTACCAAGGTCTTAGTCATCTCGGGCCACCATAACAAATACTACAGACGGGGGGAGGGACTTCAACACAGACATATATTGTTCCCTGTTGTCGAGGCTGCAAGTCCCGGCTGAAGCTGTCGGCACGTTCTGTGTCTGTGAGAGCTCTGCCCACTCACAGACGGCCGCCTGCTCTGTGTCCTCACCTGGCCAGAGCTCTGGTGTCTGCCCTCTTCTTACAGGGACACCAACCCCACCATGGGGGCCCCAACATCATGACCTCCTCTAACCCCAATCACTAATCCTCTAACCCCAACCCCTCCTCTAATCCCAAGGGCCCCACCTCCAACACCTTCACACTCGGGGGCAGGGCCTCCACACATGAATTCAGTCTGTAGCACCCAGCGAGGAAGAGAACACTCGAAGGAGAGCCCAGCGTCGGGAGTCAGGCCTGGGGACCCACAGCTGATGCACATGCGTGCGTGTGTGTGCGTGTGCCGCCTGTGTGCATGCGTGCATCTGTGCATGCTGCACACCCCAGGGGCGGGCCACAGGAGGCCCAGAGGGGACATCCACGCTGGCCAGCTGCCGACAGGGCGTCCTGGCAGAAGTGAGGCCCAGATAGACGGGCACGACGTCCATTCTCCCCTGACTGTTGACCCCAAGACGACAGCGCGGGCTGAGCGCAGAGGCTGCAGCGGGTGAAGCCAGAGAGGCTGGAGGCAGCCCCGCCCTGGACCCTGGACGGCACCGCCCGGCCCTGTCCCCGCCTGGCCCGCGACTTCCCTGTGGCCGGTCTGTGGGCTCTCCTCCTTGTCCCTCTTGTTGTCCCACAGCCTATTTGTTGAAGAGGGTGGGGTGCTCGTCCTATAGGCCATCTCAAGACAGCACCCGAGGCGTCCTGCCCACCAGCTGGGCTGCAGGCCAGCCGGCGCTCCCTGCTGGATCCTCCGCAAAGAGAATTTTCCACCCTGCGTGGGGTCATTGAGGGGCCAAACTGGAGGAAAAGCTCAGGTAGAATCCTGCCTCCACTTACCATCTTCACACGGAGGCCTGAACCCTGCCCCTCCTCCGAGATGCGGTTACAACCAGTGTGACAGTCCTCGATCCTCCACTCACCCTCCTCCTCTGTCCTCCTTCTCTGTCCTCAATTCTCCACTCACCCTCCTCCTCCTCTGTCCTCCTCCTTGTTCTCCATCCTCCATTCTCACCCTCCTCCTCCTCTGTCCTCTTCCTTGCTCTCCATCCTCCATTCTCACCCTCCTCCTCCTCTGTCCTCCTCCTTGTTCTCCATTCTCACCCTCCTCCTCCCCGTCCTCCTCCTTATCCTCCATTCTCACCCTCCTCCTCCTCTGTCCTCCTCCTTGTCCTCCATTCTCACCCTCCTCCTCCCCGTCCTCCTCCTTGTCCTCCATTCTCACCCTCCTCCTCCCCGTCCTCCTCCTTATCCTCCATTCTCACCCTCCTCCTCCTCTGTCCTCCTCCTTGTCCTCCATTCTCACCCTCCTCCTCCTCTGTCCTCCTCCTTGTCCTCCATTCTCACCCTCCTCCTCCCCGTCCTCCTCCTTGTCCTCCATTCTCACCCTCCTCCTCCCCGTCCTCCTCCTTGTCCTCCATTCTCACCCTCCTCCTCCCCGTCTTCCTCCTTATCCTCCATTCTCACCCTCCTCCTCCTCTGTCCTCCTCCTTGTCCTCCATTCTCACCCTCCTCCTCCTCTGTCCTCCTCCTTGTCCTCCATTCTCACCCTCCTCCTCTGTCCTCCTCCTTGTCCTCCATTCTCACCCTCCTCCTCCCCCGTCCTCCTCCTCTGTCTTCCATCCTTCTCCAGGCCTTGGAAACCCTAGGAACAGCCCATCTCTGCTCTGCCTGATCATCAGCTAAGTCCCCTGCCAGAGACATCACTGAGCCCTCGCAGGACACCAGGTCCCCTGGGTGATCGCCATCCTGGAGGAGAGTGCCTGGCACTCAACCAGCTGGTCTTTTTCGACAACCCACACAGCTGCTGCTCCCCATGGAAGGTGCGGCGTCCACCCTTATGAGCCGTGGCAGGGACAGGAGAACCCATCACCCACTGGGTCCCCTTGTGCCATGAGTGTCTGTCAATCTGGGGAGACCCCGTGCTTCCAGGGTCCTGGGGCGCTGACCACTCTCTCCACCCTGCTGGGACCCTCACACCAATGCTCTCATGAGCAGAGAGGAGGATCTTGGGCAAGTCCTGTACGAACGTGCCAGGAGTCTGTGGGTTCAGGGCAGTTGTAAAGATGAAGTTGTATATTCTGGGTGGAAAGAGGGCTTGATTCCCTTCTGAGCATTTTAAAGGGAAGACATTTATGATGTTTGGCTAGCTAGCGGAAACACAAATGTAGCTAATGCCGCTCCCACGTAGAAAACAAGAAGCGTATTAACACTTTCCAGTATTTCATATTAATATCTTATTGGATATTCTCAAAAACGGTGTCTTTCATTTCACAGTAGAAGGACCTGAGGCTCAGAGAGGTTGGAATGATTTGCTTAAGTTCTCACAACGGACGGTGCTTAACCAAGTCTCTCCTGAGACTAACGACAAGCAGCTCGTAAGACCAGGGCAAGTGACGACCCAGTGCAGCATCACAGCCTTCGTGACATTCTGGACCAAAACGGGACAATAATGGGAAAACTCGGAAATACATATAAAGTCTGGAGTTCAAGCTTTGAAAAAGTGCGTAAAGCGTTAAAAGTTCCCGTGGGGACACAAAGACAACGTGCTTGAAGACAGCTCACCAGATGAGACTCCTGCGTGTATGCAAGTGGATGGAAGGATTTTAACCACACAGTTGCTTTAATACAGAAACTTTGGAAAAACCTAAATGCCCACCGACATTTTAAAGGATGAAGAAGTGGTTGTGTCATTGGGCAGTGAGGGTTACAATGACTCTTAACAATGAACTGGAATTGTATCCAGGGTTAGCCGTAAAAAACATGTCAGTCAATAAAGTAAGGGATCAAGAGAAGAACAACCAGCTGAAGTTGGGGCTTCTGTTCCCGGCACCACCCGTGGCTCCTGGTGCCCCCACCGCTCCCTCAGCCCCAGAGGCTCAGCCCTTCAGGAGGCAGCAGAGGAGAGGTAGGCGTGAGGCTGAAGAGGAGATGAGGCCGGAGCTCATGGAGGAAGGAAGAACGTGCCAGAAGGACAAGGAAAGAGGCCCCGCCAGGCAGCACAGCCTGGGTGAGGACGGCAGGGCTGCGGAGGGCCCTGGGGTCCTGGCATCTGCCCACAAGGCCTTTGGGACCCCCTGCTCAGGAGTGCAGACCTGGTCACAGCTGCAGGACGCCCTCCCCAGGGCAGAGCTGGAAGGGGGCCCTTGGCCAGGCGGTGAGGGCCCAGGAGGAAGGGAGGTACCTGAGGGATATCCTGGGCTGACCACTGACCACCAGTCGTGTGGGTAGCAGGAGAGGGAGTGGCCGGGCCTGGCTCTGCATGGGTGATGGGCTGACTCACCAGGTGGCGGGGTGGGAGGGCACTGAGAAAGGGGAGTTGGCTCTGGGAGTGCTGCTCTGGACAGGCCTCTGGGAGGAGGCGTCATGGGCCCTGGACGCAGGGAGGGGGCCGCACGGGGTCCCTGGGTGCAGGGAGAGCTGGAGCCATAGGTACAGGGAGGG